ACCCCAAAAAAAAAAAAAAAAAAAAAGTGTCACTTGGGACATCTTTGAGAATATGCTTCAATTAAAAAAAAAAAGTTATGGGATAGGAAAGAAGATCCAGGTAAAACATAGGAGAATTCATAGGTTCTCTGAAGGATCTAGAGTAAAAAAGTCCCAGACCAGTTCTCTTTCACTCTCTGTTCATAACTGCCCACAATATAAAAAACTATCAGTAGTGCTTTAGAGTCTTGGTTGTACATATTCAAAATGGACATTTTTCTCTTTAGTGTCTCAATTTCAGTTTGTTAATGTAGAATTACCCCAAAAAATCCAAAGTTTAATAAATTTCTATAGAAAATCACATTATTTGGATTGTGTTTAGCTGTCTTCTAATTCTTATTCGTTCTCCATCTGGCAGAAAATGTTGAGGTATTATGATAACTAGCTTCTTACAGTATGTTTAATTATTTGACTGAATTTTACTTTGGGATGTATTGTATTAACAATATACTTGAGTGAAATATTCAATAAGAGGAAGATAGTTATTTCATTCTTAAAGTGAATATTACCATATTTTACAGAAACAGCAGAATCATCCGTAATCAAGAAATTCTGATTCCAACTCACTTCTTCACTGTGCTAACAAGTTGTAAAGATACATCTCAGACTCCCTCACAGTGTGAAAATCTAGATACCTTGGCTTTCATTTTGCCTCACAGGACTGATAACAGTGAGAGCTGTGCTGTAAGTAACCTTTTTTAATTTACCTTAAACATTGATACATAAATATGTTTGTGTGTGTCATAGCCAACATAACTGGTACATACATGTACTTTGAAATTATGGGATGGTTTTAAATTTGATCCTCTAAGATGACATATCTTCAGAGAAGATCATTCTTGTCTGTTAAAAGCACTAACAGTAAGATCAAAATGTCAAAACTTAGTGACTTCGTATGGCTTAGCCATTAAATCCATGTATGAATTCTGGGCCCTCCCCTGCAAAAAAAAAAGGCAGCAATAGACTTATGCTTACATTTCACTGACCACAGTGATGTTAAGTACCATTGAGTTCCTTTTCCATCTGTACCGTTTCAAAAGCTATTGTACCGATATCTTAAATACAAGCGTTTAACAAATTCTATAATGGCAGTGTAATTAGAAGACACTGAATATTGAACGTGAACCAGAAAGGGGATTATTTGAAGGTGTATCACACATACTTACAGAAATAGTGACTAAGGATTAGCTGGATATTGGCCTGAGAGAACAGATCCCTTGTGTGTACTTTTTATTTATTCCTGTAAATATTGGAACAGATGGCAGATATCTACTGGCCAAGTAGTCTATTGAATCAGGGCTATTCCCCTGAAAGCCAGAGTGAGGACTGCTGCAGAGGAGGAGACTGAGTGGGACAGCAGTTTTGGGTAGTGGGTGATTGGAGGCTAATGGGAAAGTGGAAATTATTGGTCTGTTCCTTTTTATGTGAAACGTCTATATTTGCCATTGCCAATATCTTAAGGGTACATGAACCTTTATTGAAGTATGCCTTTAAAGTATAATCATAGCACACCAACCAGTGGATATGTTCTTCATCTGACTTTCTCCAGTAGCCATTTTCAGAAAATTGTATACCAACACATGGATGTATGATTTCCATCCCTATTACCTGCCTTAGCTACCGTCTCAGCTTCCATGTGCCAGAGCACAAGGCTTTAATTCTTTTTTGATCTCGTATTAGCTGAAACTTCACTACCTCACCAGAAATGAAAGTGCGTTTTACCACTTCCCCTAATCCTTTCTTCATCGCAACCACACAGATAACTGATTCGGATAAGAACTAGCGTTTGTACAGTGCACTTGCACACATCATTACATTTGATCTTCAGAGTAACCCCGTAAGGAGGGTGCAGGTAAGAGAATTAGGATTCAGATGTTAAATAACTTGCCTCAGTTTACCTGGTAGGATAATGGTAGAAACAGGACTTGAATCCAAGTTTCTTTATGCTAATTTCCCTATTCTTTCTACATGGCATGTTGCTTCTGTTTTCTAACATTTTTTAACCCCATATACTGTTGACGTTTCTTGCACCAAAGTAATAGAGGAACATCTGTTCCACACATACTTTTCCCAAATTTGATACACCTATTAAGCAAACATGCGTGGTACGTATTAGATAGCGAGCTACTCAAGAGCAGGGATTATGCCTAACAGCTCTCGTGGTATCTGCCGTTTAAGAGCCAAGGTGTCACGGCTGATTAAAATGGGGGAGATGGAAAGTTCATAGGGAAGGTTAATTGACTGCTCTCCAGTGACTTTCCTTCCTTTCCCACGCTCATAGCATGGGAGGCATGAATCCTCATGGGTTGAAGAGTTGTTGAGGCGACACAGAGCTCGAATCACAGATGTTGAACACATCACTGGACTCAGCTTCTATCAAGAAAGAAAAGAGCCAATTTCAGACATTTTAAAGTTGAAAACACATTTGCCAACCTTTAACCAAGAAGGCTGATGTTTTTTATTCCAAGACCACGCCGTAAATCTTTTTGAAAGAACCTTCTGTTTTATACATCCTCTATTTACACTATTGCATTGTTCGGAGACTGTTGACCAGAGTTAGAACTGGGAATCCTCTTGTGATACACAACCGTCTCAGGGAAACTTGTGGCCTCCGCATAACAGTAGGAAAGTGTTCCTACTGAGTCACGCACGTGTCTGAATGTGTAAGAGTTGTTCAGATTTGGGAATAAAGACAGACCATACCTAAGACTGCTCTGCTACTTCTCTTAAGGGCAGAAGGTAGCTGTGAACATTCTCTGGACACCAGATGTTTGAATCTTACTATCATTAATAAACTTCTCTGATGCTGGCAAACACTACACTAATGAGTAGGATTGGAATAGGCCATGTTTCGTTCGTTTCTTCACAAGAATTTAAAAGTGATTCTGGATTCTTTTTAACTTGGAGTTTATTTTAATTTTAATCATAAAAGTTAATGGAAGCAAAAATATTTGAGGCCCTATTTCTCTCTTTTCTGTACAGCCCCTCAAAAGCCAAGGTATGTAATCCTGTGTTATTTTTTAACTGTGACTGGACTTCTTCAGATTTAGTGATTCTTTCAAGTTAAACTTTGAGGGAAGACCTGTATTGAGTACATCTTTTTATAAAATTTTACTCAACATATGTACCAAAGAAGAAAAATATTCCCATCCTTCTCACTGGTATTTGACATAGGTTGAAAATAACTCCCCAAATGGCTATTTTAGACTGTTAAAAGTGTGTCTTGTCTTAGTGAAGCTTCACAGAGCTTGTCAACTCATATGCAAGGTGGCATTTTTTCATCTAGATAGTAGGAATGTTTTCCTCTGTGCACAAAAACTGATGCTACCAGCAGCAGAGCTCTACTGTTCTGAGCTGTTCATTTTGAAGTTCCATTGATTTGAAGAGAATGTGTTACCATCATTTTATATCTTCTCGGTAGTCATGATAAATGAACTTGATTTCTCTGCTTCATAGACTATATCCTTTAGTACCAACCTGTGGACTTTCAAAAGCTGCATTCACTTTTAGGCTACTTGGGTCTGATATAAGTGCTATATTAATACAGCAAAGATCTGTATTTGTCCTTCATATGATACTTGTTCTTCGAAAGCACAGGGGCCACAAAGACCTAATTTAGATAATACAATTTGCATCTGAAAATTATTTACTAATTTAGAAAGTCTCATTGGTTTTGTTTTAGTCCCACAGATCCCTGAGGTTCTGTACGTTTCTTTCCCCCAGTCTGTTTTTTTCTCTGTTGTTCAGATTGGGTAATTTCTATTGTTCTATCTATCTTCAAGTTCACGGATTCTTTCCTCTGTCTAATCCATTTTGCTGTTGAGCCCACCCACTGATTTTTATATTTCAGCTATTGTGTTTTTTTATTTCTAAAATTTCCATTTGATTCTACTTTGTAGCTTTCATTTCTTTGCTGAGAAATTTTCTCTCTTTGCTGAGACTTTCCATTTTTGCATTTGTTTCAAACATGTTCATAATTGCTTATTGAAGATTTTTATGATGGCTGTTGTAAAATCCTTGTCAGTTAATTCCTACGTGTGTCATCTTTGTGTTCACATCTATTGTCTTCTTTCATTCAAAAAGATTTTTCTGGCTCTTGTTGTAGTGAATGATTTTCAGCTGAAACCTGGATATTTTAGGGATTATGTATGAAACTATGGATCTTATTTAAACCTTCTGTTTTAGCTGACTTTCTCTGTCATCACCCTAGCAGGGGAATTGGGGGCACTGTCTCATTATTGCCAGGTTCCTTACTCAGCCTCTATTGACATGGGGTAAGAGGGGACCCTTGTTACTAGGCAGGGTGAGAATTCAGCTTCCCACTGGGTCTCCATTGATGCTTCCCTGGCTGAGATGTGCAGGGCACCTTGTTACTGCCCCCATGTGGTCTCCACTGATGTTGTGGACAGGGGTGGCAGGGAAAACTTTATTATCACTGAGTGGGAATGAAATTACCAGTTTCCTACTCAGTCTTCTCTGATGCTATCCTGGCAGAGGACTTGGGGCACCTTTTCACAACCTGGCAAACCACTGTCTTTGCTGGCATGGGTGGGATCATGGTCTTTTATGTGGTGTGTAGTTGGAGTGGAGCAGTCATTGTTCTCTCCCTTGCTAGGCCACTCCTCTCCTGGTCCTTTGGCTGGTGAGGTAGCAGGCCTTTCTTGGGACTTCTTTTTGTCTGTACTCGTTGACATTTCCAGGTTGCTGACTTCTTCAGCAACAAGTCTGGCATATATGAACTAAAAGAAAACCCAGCAGAACTCATTACAGTGTTGTTCCTTGGGTCCCGAGATCCCTAGCCTGTCTGCCGTCTCCTCTCCACGTTTCAGAATCTTCCTACATTTGTTTTATATATAAAAACGAAGATTTTTATCTGCGCTTAGCAGAAGGATATCTACTTCTTTATAGAAGTGTCTCATTGATTTTTATATATTTTTTCAAAACACATGCAGACACAGTTGCCTCTACATAGAGCATCTTAGCAGATCTTAATTAGATGGATAGATGCCTTTCTCCTTTGCCAGACAGCAAGAATACAGAGAAAAGCAAGTTACAATCCTTCCAGTCTTGGTGAGAGAGAGGAGGCAGCAGAAGTGTAAATGATCCCTAAAAGATGGTAAGTGTTATAATGGAGCCATGGGCAGGGTGCCAGGGAGTACAAAGCAGACACTGGGTGCTGCTTGGCAGTATCAGCAGTGGCTTCCCAGAGGTGGTAATGATTGGGCTAGGACTTGAAGGATGAATTGGAGCTCTGCAGGTGAATAGGTGAAAAAACGGCATTCTAGCCTCCCTTGGGTGGATACATTTGGGGCATTTTTCCATTTACTGCTAATTCCGATACTTTCTACAAGTGTCACTGTGACCAACTTACAATATACAGCTATTTCATTTTTCTTACTTTGTTAATCTCCCGTTCTTAAAGGAAATGTCAGACTATAAATTCTGGGCTGATTCTTTAAAGGAAAAGGCATCCACATCTGTTCCTACTTAGCTTTCAGTTGCTCTTATACAATATGCTTTTTTTTCCCCTCTTGTCTTGAAAGAGACCCTTTCTTGCACTCTTTCATCTACTTAAGACATGTGACTAGTCCCCAGTTTGAATGGTAAATTCACATGATCATATATGGAAATGTATGTATCCTACTTTTTTCAATAAAGGCTATTCTTTCCTTTTCAAATGCACAGCAAAACCTTTATTTATCCCTAATTTTGCTGCCATGCCTCCAGTCAGTACTTCTTAAATGAGGTAAGTAACTCTCATACATAATTTTCTAGCTGGTTAGTTTATTCATGGCAGAGCAAAAAATCAGGTGAAACCTAAAAATATTTCCAAGAATCGGAGAAAAGAGGGCAAACCTTAGGGGGAAAAGGCGAATGTTCAGGTTCTGGCAGGGTAAGGAGGTATGCAGAGCATGGTTAGGCCAGTTGGCCTGGTTGGTCCTGTTTAAGGAGATAAGACCCACCGGCATAGAGCTGAACCACTGAGTCCTCCAGGATAGGCTACGGCCACCCTGCCTTGACTATTTTCTGCCATTAGCTGCAATAACTGTCCAGCCCGGATCTGTGGGTACGTGTTTATCTGTAATTGAAACTGTTGTTTGAACTTTGAAACTAAATGTGATTATACTTCACGCTGAAGCCTGTCACAGGAATTTGGTGTGTGGGTGCTTTCATAAGCACCAAGTTAAATGTTATCATGGCTATAGTCCAAGGGCATTTTCCCTGATTTTTTGGCCAGTGTAAATATTGTAAGGTAGGGAAAAAAAAAAAAAAAAAAAAAAAAACTATAGAATAAGTGTCTCTAAGCTAAGAAATGTGAATTTACAAATAAAAGTTGTATATACAGAATCTTGGCTGCTTTCCTGCCTGGATGTGGATGTGTGTTTGGAGGGTGGGGGTCAGGAAGGGCGGGTGATGGTGTTTCTCCAGGGACTGGTGCTGAGTACAAGGGTTGTAGACAAATAACTCCAGCTGTGTTGTCAGGAGGAGGAAAAAAGCTCCGAAGTTCATTTCAGGTTCACAGAGTTAATAACCATTTCTGACTTGTGACCTATATCCTTGTTTGTGTTATTTTAATTACATTTAGTCGTACTTCTAGGTAACAACGAGTGACAGGCATATATAAATATCTTTCCAGTATTTCAAATGGTCTGAAACCAGGAGGAAAGTCTCCAACTTGTAACTTCCATAGATTTTTTTCAACATAAAATTTTTTCATTTATCCTTTCTGTGATAGATAAATAATGAGTGAAAAAAAAGATATTTGCTAGAAATCTTATCTGTACCAGAAACCATAGAGGTAGGAAATACGTTTTAGTGTACTAGAAATGAAAGAATCTCTGGAATAGGTATTATACCCATGGGATGGCAAAAGGAAGCAATGTAATCCTGCCCCAACGTGGTTGTTTCAAATTTAACTTCATACTTTCACTCAAATCCTCAATTCAAGGGACAATTTGAGGATTTTAATAAAAATATCTAACACATTACTTTAAAAACTCATATCCAATTTCATTATATATCAGAAATTCAGAACTCAGAATAGACTCTGGCTTTCACAGAATAGAGATACAAAACAATTCAATAAACATCCAGGAAATGAGATTTTTACATCTCTTGATAATTTTGCCCCGTGACATCCAGGTATTTTTCACTATCAAAAATCGTTTGTGCCTACACTTAGATGGCATTGCGCTGGGTTTAAATAAAGGAAGCAAAACAGGTCTCAGAACTGAACGTTTATAAGCTAATAAAAACTTGAAACAATTTTAAATAAATGAGAACAAAATTTTCTCAGTCCAATGAGTAGATCTCATTGCTCAAATGTTCACAATTTAAAAAATCTCAAAATTCTCAATCATAAACTATTCTATACCTTGACACAATTTCACTCTTTTGAAGAGTTACTCACTTTTATTAAGGTCAAAACAGAAACAGGCTGGTAGATCTATGGGGCTTTTATTTATGTACTTGTGTGTTTTTAAGATAACGCCACTTTTTAACTTAATAGCACACTTTAAGACACTGCAACTAGATTAGATTCAATTAGATCAAGATTGACAATAAATTTCAAAGCTGTGCTTACTCTGTGTCAAGGAATTAGGCATTAGAGATAAATTGGAGAATAGGACAGATGGGATGCCTGCACCCTTGGTACTTACTTATCAACCTCTTAAGTTCTAGCCCAATGCACATGTCCTTTTGAAACCTCGTCTCTATCCCGCTAAGGGATGGATCATGGGATCATACCCTCCTAGATTTTGGAGATTATAAATAGCACATGCCCTCAAGGCTAGACATTCTTAGGTAGTTGCACCCAACTGCCCATGTTCCATAACCCGGGCACAGTGTTGCTAGATGGCATTGAGACCTACTAAGAGATTGTCCCCAACCCCTCTCTTCCCCCACCGCCCCGCCCCCCTACCCCATGCTAGGTGTAAATACGTGGCTTGCTAAAGGCAGCCTGCAACCATAAAAGGAAACAAAATGATTTTAAGGTGATGTGGTTATAGGTATAAGAGGACTGTTGGCTTCTACTTGGGGCTTCCAGGGAGGGACCTGGCAGGATTGTCTCCTAAAGAGAACACATTACCACAAACCATATAAGGAAAATGAG